TGGCTTCGTTCTTAGCGGAGCTTTCCAGAGTAGCCAGGCAACTTCTGCATTCTTCTGCAGTTTCTAGCCCAAATTGCCAGCCATCGCAAGTTGCTCTGCTGACAAACGAGGCATTCCGGAGCACAGCCTGCCCTAGAGAGCTGGAAAATCCGAGAGATTCTGATTTCCAATCAGAGTCCTACAAAAACTAGAGAGAATTCGAAATTTGGCAACTCACTCAGATTTGCGCTGATTCACGCATGAAATCGGTGGGGGTGTGTACTGGAATTAGATTTTCAAAAAATGGGCGCGTTAGATTGAATAATGCAGATTTGGCACTCTACCCAGATAAACGCACCATACTGCGAAATAGCTAGTAGGGCATATATCCGGGGGATGACGGTAATCGTTTTCATACACCTTGAGCCTGACAGAGGAGCACAACTTTTCAGGGTGCTGGTAGACAAAAACGCGCAGGGGTTTCGCACGGCATCGTCACGGGCATATGGGCCTTTTGCATGCGCATATTTTGGCGAGCCATTTTCACATAGTTACCCTGTGTTAAGTTTCGGCGATTTCAAGCGAGAGTGAGTTTCTCTGGTGTAGCACCAGAGTGGTGGTTGGCGGGTGAGATGTTGAGTGAGTTTCTCTGGTTTGGTTTGATCCCTTTTATACTAAGTGAAATTTGGCGAGGGTTTGGAGTCGCATTTCAGTTCCAAATATTAGGGGCGTGTTCTAAAGTTTTCTTACATTACGAATTGAAGGTTCGTATCGCAACAATAACTGCTGCGTGGATTGTGGGAATTTGTTTTACGAGTCTGTTCCTAGGTTAGCTGTCGGATGTTGAGAACGACCCCTGGCATCGGAGCATCGCGACTCCATTTCGCTGCCCATGTCAGCTTTCGGTTTCATGCGGCGATACTCAAGCCACAAACAAACCCAACGAGGCGTACGCACCTTTGCGAGCTCAACGAAAGGCTCGCTGAGCTTCGCCGGAGCGCTATTCCGAGCGCGGCTGGAAGTTTGTGGCGAAAACAGTTGGGGCGTATATCTTTTGTCTTGTGTTGCATGTTTGTCACCGCTTCATGATGACACTGCACTGCTGGATCTGTTCACGGCCCACGTTGAGTGGACCGTGCCCGTGTGTCCATGCTGATGGGCGGTGGTTTCTGATTGGGCCACGTATTGCGCTGGGCCTCCGGTGTGCTCCAGGTGTATTTGAAGTGCAATGTTTATTGTAAAGATATTTATGCCATCTTCCATTCTCAACCGGGTCAACGAGTGCCTCTCCGAGTCATCACGGGTGCGGACTCGGATGTGTCGCGCCAGCGTGCGTGCGGGCCAAATCTGGTTATGGAAATGCACAGCTGGCATCAAACCTCCCTAGACATGGAGGAGCCCCCTTCCCACATTGTCAAAATCTTGATTCATGAGTTCGACTTTCGCAAGCCAGGGTGGCGGTAGCCTGGTTACACTTTCGTGAATTAGAAGCTTGTCGCAAAGGACATCAAGGCAAGGAAGGGGTGTAGGAAGAGGCCAACCCCCTCTCGCCCTCCATTCGTCTCAATGCCATTCTCGCACCCCTAGTTTTTTTCAGCTCGTTTTCATTTTTCCCAGCTCGTTTCCACTGAGTTCTTGTTTCTTTCAACGCACCTGTCTCGCCCTTTCCACTGTAACGACCAGACCTCTTAAATCGGCCACTCTCCTCGCTTGCAAGCGTCTTCTTAGTATGCTCGCATCTCGTGGCTCTGATTCGTGAAACCCTAAAAAACACGGAATTTCGTGGGTTTTCAGGGAAAGGCGAAGTGAAGTTTCCCAACCAGTCGGGGAATTGAAGCAGTAGACTCAACGCCCAAATTTTGCATTCGCGTGCAAAGGAAGCGGCGACACTGCCACGGCCCAATTTGAAGAGGGTCGCCGTGACCGTCGGTCATGATGGAGCGCGCGCTCGGCGCGCTGCTGCTTTTGATGTGTCTCGCGGTCTCACAAGTCCAGTGTGCCGTTACCCTTGCCTTGTCCCAAGGTATGCCACTCATTCTTCGAACGGGAGGTCACGCTGTCACAGCACACAGCACTGCTGGCACGCAGGCACGGTCAGAACTCGTACCGATGCTTGCACCCCGAGATGTGCCCTTCTTCATCCACACACCTTCTGCACCACTGTGCCCTTCGACCGTCACCCTTGCCTCGCGGATCATGCAGTAATGGGAAGGCAACATGGTGGTCTTGTGATTAAAGTATAGAACACACCCCTATGTAACAAGATGCATGGAAATTCTCAGAAGGATAGCTACTAGGCATGGCATGGGGACTGTTTTATAGAGAAGCCTAGATCTATCCGAACTAGACACCTGTTAGCCTAGGGTCCTCTGTCCTATCTCTGCTGGAAGAAATGTCCAGCAGAGCATAGCATCATGGCGCTGTGCCAAGCTGCTTTATGGATACGCGAGTCCCTAAGTCCTGGCGGCATGGCGTGGGAAGTGGGCGATTCGTGCTGAGTCGGATTCAATGACAGGGCGGACGTGTCGTGTCACAAGGCGTGCTACAGGGGGCTGGCCCATCTCCCGTTTTCGCGCTGCTCTAGTCCCCTTCCTCCCATTTTCTTCTGCTGGCGGAAGTGTCTTTGTGAGCCTTCACAAGGCGTGGAGCATGGCGATTCATGGGTGGGATGGAGTACATCTTAAAGCTTCCTATTATTGAGTATGGGCCATGGTAAGGGTGAAAGGAGGCCAGAGAGCAGAACAGGTTGGGTCTAAAGTAGCACCAGAGGAGGGAGTACGTTGGTTCAAACAAACACTAGATTCAGTCCTGCTCTCGGCCAAGAACCACCCGGATTTGGCCGAAGTTCGACCACTTAGCTACACCAAATTTGGCCCAATTTTCTGGACTGGTATCGGTCCAAATTTGGTGCATGGTCCTAGCTTGGCCCAACTTTGGACCAAACTAACAGGCCTTGTTTTGTGATGTACGATGACAGGAGGCCGAGTCTTTTTTCCCTCTGCTCCCACCCCTGACTTCTTTCCCTCCTTTCCTCCTGCCCCAGAGCAAGTTCTCTTGGCGGTCAGGAACGACACTTGATGGCTGGGAGGTTGCACGAGAGGGGTATCCACCTCCCAGGTTCCCTCTATAATGATCCCTGTCCCTATTCACCTTGTGTCTGCCCCCAGCGCAAGTCCTGCTGGACTGTCAGAAGGCGTGGGGCACGGCGTTTGATGCCTGGGAGATTGGCGGGGACTGCAACCGCGCAAGCTATGTCATGTGCGACTCTAAGGGCATGATAACAACCATGTGAGTGACCCCTTGAGCATGCCTTCCTTCTTCCCTCTTCTTCAGTCGCGCCCTCTTACCCGCTCTCCATCTATTTCCCCCTCCCTCCTTCCCTCTCACCTCCCTCTCTCCCTCTCCTTTATGCCATCTTCACCCCCTGCAATTCGTCTCTGGCATCTGGACGCATTTCTGTTGTGGAACGCATGGAACCAAGGCATGAGCAAAACCGGGTATTTACCCGACCCGACCCGGTTTTGCTATACCCGACTTCGGGTCGGGTATTTTCGGGTCGGGTACGGTCGGGTAACATGCCCAGGACCAATACCCGGACCCGGGATTTGGGGGCGGGTAATTTAATACCCGCCTGGCGGGTCCGGGTATACCCGACCCGGTTTCCTTGAAAAGCGGGTAGTATTACCCGCGTTTTTCTACCCTGTTGGGCTACTAAGACTACGACCTAGATGGTGCTTCAAAAAACGTGAGCTGCGGGAGGGAGTATGAGGTGTGCCAAATCTTTAACAGTTCTGGTGTGGTGAGTGGGTCGTGAGTGGGGCCTGAGTGGGGAGTTGGTTGGGTTTTCTAGTTGGAATGGGGTTGTGTGCGGTTTCTGGGGGTTTGATTCTTTGACCCCCAGAGTCAATTGGTTGGAACTCCAACCAATGTGGTGCTGTGCGGTTGGCTGGATTCAGGTTGGGTTGCAAATTCGATTGGGGAAATTCGATTGGTTTGACTTCCAACCAATTCCCCCCAATTCAACCACTTTGAATGCATCTGTATCTACGAAACCCAACCCCTGCCAATCTACAATGCTCTAAGTGACCTAGCAGCTCACGTAACCTAGAAATTTGATGAAATTTCTCTACCAGCGCGACTAATGTCTCGCTGGTTCCGTCGGGTAGACCGCTACCCGATTTCGGGTCGGGTACCCGCTACCCGACGCGTCGGGTAGCATTTCGGGTAGCGGGTATTGATACCCGCCCCGGGTAACCCGGACCCGACCCGCCGGGTAATTTTCAGGATTTCCGATACCCGACCCGCCCTAAAAGCGGGTCCGGGTACCGGGTACCCGACCCGGGCGGGTAGTTTGCTCAACCCTAATGGAACCCCTGAGGGAATCTTTTAGAGAGAGGGAATCCATGCGTTTACAGGGAACCCATGGAACTCGCTCTCTCTCTCTCAAGCGGTCCTTTGTATTCATTAGGAACCTGTGTACAGAGCTAGGCAAGTGGGTCAGGGGCGGGCATGCAACCGAAAAACCTCTCTCCCTCCCCCAGCTAGCCTACGTGGGCGTCCCCGTGGACTCCAAAATGACAAAGCAGTCCCCAAGGGACATGCCATCGTCCGGTGCCCCGAGGACAGGCCTCTCGAGCGGGGTGGCTTCATTCACCTTGCCGAGATATGAGAGGGCCTGTCTGCGCTGGAGGGTGACCGACCACCACTGCCGAAACTGGTTGAGCAGCTTCGCAGCCTGGTACGAGGTCGGATTCGCGTTGAAGAGGCGGCGGGCGCCAGTATGGGCCAAAAGCTGTAGGAAAGCGGGCACCTCGTCGCAGGGGCACCTGTAGGTCTCCACGGCGAGGGGGAAGAAACCGACGTACGGCGCGCGGTTGCGATAGTGGTCTATCTTCTTGTCTGCTTGCTCCCGCGTCATGTACCCCCTCCCTTTCCGTGCCTGGGGGTCGCGGCTGCTGACCGGGTCGGTGACGGTGACGTCACAGATCCACACAGCGCCCGAGTCTCGGTCTCGGATTGCCAGGTCGGCAGTCTGATCGCCGATTGGGGTATAAGTGGCCGTTTCTTTCTCGACGATGAACTATGCATCTCGTGCCATGCGGGTGCACTCGTCCCGAAGAGCATTATGCGTATTAGTGCGCCCGTGCCCTGTCCCACAGCGGAGCAGGTGGTTCGGAAGACGCGGGTCGGGGATTTCTACCCGCTTGGCGCAATTACAGACCCTTGGGACCGGGAGGGGGAGGCCCAGGCGGAAGGCGAGGGCGATCACGAAGTGCGGGGGTGCGAGCCGGAGGGAGGGGAATAGGGGGATGGCTAGGAGCCAGTCCCCCGCGCCATACCCCGTGAGGGAGAGAAGGCGCTGTGTATGGCCACTGTTGGGGTTACGCGCCATGCTGCAACTGGTTTCCACCTGGTCGGCATAGCGGGCTGCCTGGACCTCCAGAGACAGGCGGTGCTGCAAGGGTACATCCGACGCCTCGACGCGTTCCGACTGCAGGAGCTCAAGGGCACGAGGTGGCAGCATCGCTTCACACTCCGTCAGCCAGGTATGAAGGGTGGTGGGGCTGGAGAACGGAGGCGCCAAGGGCCGAAAGGCTTTTGTCAGAGGACTAGCAGCTGCGGTGGGCAGAGAGGCGAGGAGGGCGTGGGCGCGGGTGGTGCTGGTCAGGAAGGAGTGCGGGCCTTCAACCGCGGGGTCCGTGAGGCCAAGGCCTCCTAGTGAGGGCGGTAATGAAGCTTGGGCCCAGGTGCGGAGCTGTTCAGTTTCCCCTCGGGGCGTCTGCAGGCCACTTGCCCGCAGGAGCGTGTAGAAGAGGTCCTGCCCCCACCTGGACCACTCGGCTGTCGGGAGCAGATTCACGGGTGTCGTGCGCACGAGGTATGAGACTCGGCGAGAGATGCACCGGTGGAGCAGTAACGACACAATTTGCGGGTCCATGGTGGCTAGGATAGGTAAGGGAGACGCCATGGAGGCAAGCTGGGCCTGAAGGAAGGCCGCGGCCCCCTCCGGGGGGGCGATATGGCTGCCGAGTACCTGAAGGCCGTCCGTGCGGAAGGGAATCTCCGGCGGCAGCAGGTGCGGCGCCGGTCGTGTCGCCGACCAGGCGGCGCACTTGTCGGGGTTGTGGGTTAGGCCAAGGTCGGCGAGGGCGGCTGTGAAGTGTGTAAAAGCGGAGGTGCAGTCGGCTGGGTCGCCTAGGAAAGAGATGTCATCGGCGTAGGCGAGGCAGAGGACAGAGGGGTGGGCGTCCGCTGTGGATCGGAGGGCGGGGTGGATAGCCGCAGCGAAGAGTAATGGTCCGAGCTGGTCCCCCTGGCGGACTCCGCGCTCACTGAGGAGCGGAGGGCTATCAAACCCCGCGTCGAGGAGTAAGCGTGATGGTTGGCCGTAGGAGAATTTGACGAACGGCAGGAGGTGTCGGAGAGATGTGCCAACGAGTCCCGCCACGATCGCCCTGCGATCAACGCTGTTGAACGCGTTGGCGAGATCAACCTGGACGATCAGCGACTCAGGGAGTTCTGAGGCAAAAGCGCGAGCGCCGTGAATAATGGCTTCGCCCCCTCCCGTGACGGCCACCCCGAATTGGAGGGGGAGGAAGTGGTTGCGGGCGGACTCGGCTGAGGAGTAGAGGGCCGCTTTGCCTGCCAACCGGTATATTGTTTCACTGATGGCGATGGGACGTGTGCCTCCTCCGGGTTAAGTTAGAGCAAGGAGGCAGGAGGCGGTGAGGAGATCGGCAACATCCGCTGGTAAGTCACCCTTAAGCATGTGGTTAATGAGGGAGTGAAGTGTGGTGGCGACCGCGGGGCTAGCGAGAGCTGCGTCGCAAAGGTGTTCGAATGTCGTGCCCGAGGGTCCTGCGCCAACACCGTTTTCGCAGGTACGTAGTAACCTGTCGAAGTTTTCGCGTGGGATTTGGACCGCGTCGCCAATGTCCTCCTCTGAGGGCCACGTAATGGACGCGGTCAACGCTGGTGGGTGTTTGGATTTCAAAGCGTTGAGGGTCTCGGTGGTTGACTCCTGGACAGGCGACGACTCCAGCGCCAGCAGGGCACGCCGGAGGCTGCCACGTCGTGCGAGGCCCTCCGCTCGAGATATTTTGCCAACGGTGTCTGGGGTATGACGCGGCGGCGGGGGGCTGTGGATCGAATCGACTGCTGCCTGGTAAAGTTCCTGCCATTCGCCGCGCATGAACTGCTTCAAGCGATCCTCCACGTGGGTCCAGTTTGGTCGTTTCGGGGAGGCGAGGCGAAGTGTCAGTCGTGGGGTCAGAAAGAGAAGGCGCTAACCAGCCAGGGAGGACCAATTTTCGCCGAGGTGTAGCAGGGGCGTCAGTAACGCCAGAGCGAAAAGGGGGCGAAGTCTGGGGGGCAGTTTGCGGGATAATGGGGGCTGGCGACTGTCGCAAAGCAGGGACATGTCCCAGCTGGCTACCTCGGCGAATCTGGATTTGTCGATTGCCAGTTCTTGTGGCGAGAAAGTTCGCTGCGTTTGGCTATGAGCGTCCAGCGCCCCACGGATATTTTGCCCTGGGGTTGGCAGACCTCCCTGAGATCTGGGGCCCCTATTCCCGCTTGTTCGTCTTTCAGATCTCCTCGTCCGCTCCTCAGGTTCAGCTTCCTCCTCCGAATCGTCAGTAGAGGAAACGGACTGCTCATCAGGAATATAAGTCTGGTCCCTTCGCTCTTCTTCCTCAGTTCCTCTCCTCCTTTCCTGTTCCCTTGAAGCCCGCAAAGCCGCCTGCTGGTAGCCATTGGCTGGTCCACCGTCGCTCACCCGTCCCTTGCGCCCGCGGCCTCGCCTAGCCGCTCCGTGTGCACGCTGCCCGCCCCCACGGGCCGCAGGAGACCTCCCTGCCGAGTCTCTCGCCGCCCGGTTCATCGCCCGTGATCTGGGCGTCGAGTTGCGCGGGTCTTCCAACGCCGCGGCCGCGCCCATCACGAGCGGCGATGGAGCAGGCGCAAGCCACCGCCCCTGATGTCCGCCCGCGTCGTGAGCGATCGGCCGGCCCTGAGAGCTCAGGGGAGAGCGTCTCCCCACCCCAAGGTCCAGCGAAACCGCCGGCTGATCGCTCGGACATGCGTTGGGAGCGCAGTCTCCTCGCCCTTGCGGCAGACCACCATGCGTCGCCCGACCAGGCAGGGAGTCGCACATCAACCCCACCACGTCGCGAAAACCGGTCGAAGACCCCGTCACCCGGCCGCGGTTCTGCTCCCCTGGCGTTGGCGCTGCCCCGCCAGGCGGTGTCGCGTCCCCCATCGCCGATCCGTCAGCCGCAACCGTTGCGGGGGGGGGGAGCCTCCCCGTCAGCGCGCCGGTCCACAAGAGTCGCCTCGACGGCGTCCTCAGGCGACGATACACCCCGCACAGCCGCCTCGCCGCGCGGATGGGCGTGACCATGGCGGGCAACGGCGGGGTTGGCGTGGTGGGAAAGCTCACCGCGGGGCAAGCGGGCGCGAGGCCGCCGCCCTGCAGCAAACCCTTGCTCAGCATACCGCCGTGCTGGAGAGCTTGTGTGCCCACATGCAGGGGGCTCCAGCGATGCGCCAGCCTGCTGCTGCCCCCCCTGCTGAAACGCGCGTCCAGCCTCCAACTGCGGCGCTGGCGGATCCTGCGCCATGTCCGACGGCGTACCCCTGGCCTCTCCTAGGCGCTGCGCCGAATTTCCCTCTCCGGCCTCCTCCCCCTGCTGCGCCAAATCCCCGTTCCGCCTACCAGTTGCCGGTTCCGCCCGGGCGCCCCCCGTCCCTGTCCGAGCCAACCTTGCCATCCTGGCAACCGCCTCCGCTCCTGTCGACCGCCCCAGAGTGGCTGGAGCCACAGCAGCCGCCCCTTCCATCGATGTTCTCAGGCCCGGGTGCCTATGGTCCGTTCGTCCCTCCGCGTCAACGGCTCCCCTCGCCGACTGGAGTTGATGCGGGGGCAGCGTCAGCGGAGATGGGGGGGGCGGAGTCCTCTGGTGAGGGCTCCCCTCCTGGACATGGCTCCGGTGGCCAGCGTCGGACTGGCGGGGTGCGGATTCCGCCCAGGGTCCGGGTCGACCGTCTTCGGCGCGTGGAGAGGATGGTGGCGATTCCAGCCGCCACGCTCCGCCGCTGTGGGGACTTGGGGACGGCTACGGGGAAGGTGGCGGGGATGCTCGCCGTAGCGCACTCTGCACTGCGTGGCA